CAGGCGTACGGGTCTTGATTCTTCGTCCGTACGTGCTGGGTTAGAGTATCAGTCCCCCAGTTGGACGACTCATCCCTAGCCACATGGACGTTTGAGGGCCGGATAAGTGTGAGCTAGTCAAACAATCCCCAGTTGGATTGTTTCCCCGGTACAATTAGGTGTGTCATATACCTATACTATATCTCTATTATATACTTATATATTTATATATAACTATACATTTGTTCTTGCTTTTGAGCGAGGATACTTCCCCGCTCGTCGTGCCGGTGGGCACGTGTTTCGAGAGTTTGTCTTGAGATTTTTATATGGAAAGGATTGGATGGGTTGATTTGATAGTTTCACTGGATTTCGGATTTAGCTCGGGTTGGAGCAAATTACATATATGTATGATTATGTTGGATTTAATGCATTGGTTTCATGCATGGTTTTCTAACGGTGGGGTTATATTACTTTGGTTTAAATGGAACTAAACTTTGTTTTGTCCACTCACAATTTTCTGTTTTGCGCCCCACAGCCAGTAGTGACTGGAACGAGCCGCAGTGCCGTATTTTGTGCTTCTGTTTTCACGAGCTTCAGCACTTGAGCCTTCTCAGGGCCTCTGTGCTATGTAAAATCGTTAAACTTCCTTCCTACTTGTAACTTTCTTTGAATTCTGTTAGATGCTCTGTTATTGCCCAGTTAGAATTTGGTATTTTGAGGCCGGAGGCCATGGTTTGTAACACTAAGCTTTGTGTATTATGCGCTGGCTGTTGGGTTGTTTTTAACTGTGTTTTGACAGGTTGAATTTTTTGGGATTTGTCCTGTTTACAGGGGAGACTCTACCAAAATTTTTGGTGGAAAGTCTCGGTTTTTAGTAAGTGGGCCCGGCAACTGCGGTATGCCGGATTTTTAGGCGGGATCCGACCCGGTTTTCGAGGAAATCCGGGGCGGGTCCTGTCATGTATAGAGCTCTTGCTCTGGTGCCTGCACCACCACCTTCCACTCTCTTGAATTTCTTTGGGCTTCAGGTTTTGATTTCCCTTTGTCTTGCTTTGATTGGTTGTTGCATTATTTGTAGGGCATAGGCAGGTTCAAGCTTGGTGGAGTTGATGATTCATGGGTGGAATGTCATTGAGTTGATGTGGTTGTGGTTTAGGCAACTTGTGGTCTTGGTGACAGATTTGTGGGTCTTTTGTGTGCAACTATGCTGTTTTGTGCGGTGGCGGTGTCTCTTCTCACTTTTGGCCTTGATGGTGCAATCCTAGTCCTCTTGGAAACGGTGACGACTTTTATTTGCTTAGGCTAGGGTTTACGAGAGCTTTGGGTGTGAACTGGGTTGTGTGCTTATTTTAGGGCTCTGATTGTATTTGAGGTGGGCCATTGGATTATGTTTGTTGTATTGTCTAGAGCTTTTTTTCGTTGTGTTGGGTTCACGAACTCTATTCTAGACTTGGTTTAAGTTTAGATATTCCTTCCTAGTTGTGTTACATTTCTATTGTGCCATTGGTTGGTGCTTTGTACACTTGCCTATTTGACGTTTTATCAAATGCAATTCCGACAACAAAAAAAAACAAAAGAGGAAGAGAAAGATTTTTTAAACATCACAAGGAAAAACAAGCTACAAGGCGGAGAAATCAAAACAAAAGCACAACAACCAACAAGATGCACAATGTAAAGGAGGAAGGGAGGAATATGTATTTGAAGGTATGCATGTTTCAATGGTACCACGGTAAATGGAGAATGACAATTCAATGTTTATATATATATGTTTTCGAGCCTCTGCATTTAAATAGTGCACTAAATATTGATCATTATAATAATCTAACGACTTAAAATATGACATAACAAACTTCAACATAACACTGTTAAGTCTTGTCTAAAAAAAATCGTTAAGTCCAAATAAAATTAAAATTTAAAAACAAATAATAATAATAATAACAGCCACTCAACCCCAACAACCACCTATGGCCCACCCAACCCACCTTACAACACCGGCGAAAAGCATGTCCTTTTTCACCATTAGCCAACCTCTCCTCCTCTCTCTCCCCCTCTCTCTCTCTCTCTCTCTCTTCCTCTTATGTTCTCTATCTCTTTGCCCAATCCTCATGCTCAATTGAATTTTTCAAAGAAGAGCAAATCAGCCTGGGCCCTGGGCCTTGGCTCAAGAGAGGCCTCAAATTTTTTTTAAATTTTTTTATGTAGTCATATTTTGGTGACTAGTTATATAGATAAACACATTAATGTTATTTTAAGTTGACTCTAGCAGCAGTGGTAAAGTAGTTTTTAATGCACACCCAACCTTGGTTCGATCTAAGCGTTGTGCATCTTTTTTAATTTCTTTTTTATGCGAGTGCGTGGTTCTTTTTAGTACTTTATTTTTTTTTGTCTTCAACCATTTTCTTATATGCAAAAAATAAATAACATTTCGTCGGAGGCCTAAACTTTTTTCTATGGTTATAAAAGTTCTATTTTTAAATATTCTACACACGCGCAAATAAAATAAAATTATTTTTCTTGTGAGTGGAGCTATAGATACATAGGATCTTCAATCATTTCTTATGTACAAAAAATTAAATGACACTTTGTTGGAGCCCTAAACTTTTTTCTATGGTTATTAAAGGTTTCATAAACACACACATGCAAATAAAATAGAATGATCTTTCTTGTGTGGAGCTATACATTCATAGGGTTTATTTTCGACGTTGCCCTGGGCCTTAAAAATCTCAGGACTGGCCCTAGAGCAAATCATTATATGTTGGAAAAGGATGGAGACAACGAACTGTGCACCTTCCCCTTCATCTTTCCTAATAAGTCAACTCCAACATCCACATACAAACCCATCAACAAACAATCGACCTCCGGGAAATCAAAATTTAAGATCAAACCCTATAATCTCTTTTCAATTATAAAACCTTAAATTTTCCTCCTTCCACCTTTGATTTTGATTTAGGAGGGTTTGACTCACATATAATTTTATTTTGTTTGTACTTAATAGTGTTAATGGGTATAGTATTAAGAGTTTCACGTGTCATATTTTAGATCGTTAGATTATGAAAATGGTCTAAGATATAATGAAATGCAGGTAAATGCACACTATCTAAATGCAGAGGCTCGGCATCCATGTGTATATATATCTTAAGCGGGGGTGGGCTTGAGGGTGTGCAAGTGATGCCACCGCATAGGGGCCCCAAATTTTTTTACGTGTCTATTATATATACTTAAGCGTGCAGGGCAATAACATAAGTGCGTGCTTGGTTGAGTTGGTTTTCAGAACCTCAATTTTAGTAAGTAGCTCAGGTTCGAGTTCTGATTGTGTCATTCAATAGTTGTTTAACCCCAATATTATTCTTTGATATTTTTCGCATTCCAGTTGTCTTTCTCATAAATTCTCATTCTAAATTTGGTTTGGAAACTTCAGAGCGTGTACCAAATTGGTGCCACTCTCTTCATCAATTTTCAAGGAAGGAATTTACTGAAAAGTTATACAAGCGGTCATGCCACCAAAATGAAGGATACAATGATATTCAATACATTTGTTGTTTGTCAAGTAAGTAAGTAGTCTTAACTAGCTTCCCCCCGTTTTGTTATCTCTGCTTCACGTATAACCAAAGTGAAATGAAAAAGTTAATTTGGTTGTTTCAATTGAATAGTTAGTTTTGGTCTAAAATTCAAGCATAATTTTTCATTAATTTGAGCTCTTTTAAACAAAGCCCTACATACCAACTAGCTGTTAGTGTCATTCTATTTTTCTTTCTAGTGTTGGAAGATATTCAAAGTTCAAATCACGTCTTCTCTGTCTTTCAAAAGGAAAAAAAAAAAGCCATAGCCCTTCATGTACCCTGTTGATGCTCAAAATGGTAGAGGGTCAACTTAGATAAAAGACTCGGATCTTCAGTAGGGAAAGTGGCTAAGACCTTCAGTAGCTAGGTACCCTGCAGAAGACAAAGTGGAAGAAGCAGTCGTTAAGCTTCGGACACCGGTGTGGTGCCGGCCGAAGGCTCTCCGATGCTTAAGTCAGCTATAAATAGTAACTTTGGCAGAATAATGGTAAAGGTAAGAAATTAGTTACCCTTTTTACTATAGTACTATTCCCTATTTATAGAGGAGTGAAAGTGGGAAGTTTGTGTAGATTTCCGATGTGGGACTTTGTGCAAGTCGATGCGGTGGTGACACGTGTCATGGAGATTAGATTTGGCATTTGGGAGCTTCGGCAGTCGGGAACTTCGGCAGGTGTCTGGCACCTTGGAAGAGTGTCTTCCTTCGGCAGGGGAGAAGGCGTGTCTGCCTTAGTGCTAGTTGTTTTGAGGCTGGACATGCTCGGTTGATTACGGTGTAAACATACCCCGTTCCAGATTGAATGAGATTATGTTACATTATGATTTCAATGAATCTCAAATTTTCAAATGACAGATTATCCATCAATTGGAAGCTTGAAAGACGGGTATGCTATCGAAGCCTAAGAAGTGGATTACTTCAAACTATCTCTTTTGGGAATAGTGGGAACAATTCTCACAAGTCAGGTGAGAAATATTAGTTTGTTTTCTTTTTCTTTCATTTTTTTGATCACATGAATTTTGCATTTGATAACACTTAGTTTTCTGTGTTTTTAGAAAGAATGGCAGTTTTCCCTCACTCTTGGTTTTACCGAGTAAGTTTTATGGGGTGTTATTTGTTGCGAATGAAGACATTTTGGCATGCATAACAAGTTGAACATCAAGTGTTTGTTATCTTATATTAGTCATTGACAAAATTCTCTCTCTTGCAAAATGCTTTTTGCGATAATTTTATTGGTAAAGTACTTGACAGACAAGAACCATTAAGCGATTGTATTTGATGAACTAGCAAAGCAGTTCAACTCAGCATTAATTCCAACACAAGCAACCCTAAAAGGATCAACAAGCTTGTATTTGTTGATTGATTAATTCTTTTCTTCATTGTTACAAATAGGTTATGTTCCCCCAGGAGAAAGTGGGACGAGACACACTACAAACAATATTCTTGCATCTACTATGTTGGATCAAACTCATAAAGAAGAGTTAACTTAAGGCTCAAGCAACATGAACTTGAGTGATCCAACTATTTTGTTTGATAGGAGTGTTGAGAGTGTTTGTCCCACATTGAAATGTTAAGGGACCTAGCCTGGGTTTATAAGGAGTTGGGCTACTCCCCCCATTGCCAATTGGTTTTGGGGGGGGAGCTCAACTTACTTCATGGTATCAGAGCAAGGCTTCACGTGTTGGGCCCAACGGCCACACGTGTTCCCACGTCACCCAATATGTGTTGTTCAAGTGTTGGGCTTGAAAGTTCGCCACACGTGCGGGGGCGTGTTGAGAGTGTTTGTCCCACATTGAAATGTTAATGGACCTAGCCTGGGTTTATAAGGAGTTGGGCTACTCCCCCCATTGCCAATTGGTTTTGGGGTGGAACCTCAACTTCCTTCAAGGTATCAGAGCAAGGCTTCACGTGTTGGGCCCAACAGCCACACGTGCTCCCACGTCACCCAATATGTGTTGTCCACGTGTTAGGCTTGAAATTTCGCCATACGTGCGGGGGCGTGTTGAGAGTGTTTGTCCCATATTGAAAAGTTAAGGGACCAAGCCTGGGTTTATAAGGAGTTGGGCTACTCCCCCCATTGCCAATTGGTTTTGGGGTGGAACCTCAACTTCCTTCAAGGTATCAGAGCAAGGCTTCACGTGTTGGGCCCAACGGCCACACGTGTTCCCACGTCACCCAATATGTGTTGTTCACGTGTTGGGCTTGAAAGTTCGCCACACGTGCGGGGGCGTGTTGAGAGTGTTTGTCCCACATTGAAATGTTAAGGGACCTAGCCTGGGTTTATAAGGAGTTGGGCTACTCCCCCCATTGCCAATTGGTTTTGGGGTGGAACCTCAACTTCCTTCAAGGAGTGCCACTATAACTTGGCTACAAGCCCAATAGAAAGAGACAGGTTAATTTGTAGTATGATTTTAGTGATTTGCGCTTAATAATCTTAACTTCTAATCAGGTCATTGTGCTATGAGTGAGGAACTGGCTTAGATTAGTTATTTTCAGTGCATTGTTCGTTTTAAGGATTTCAATATTCTACTTATAAGCGCTAGTACAAAGGTGTTCTTGAAGGTTTAGCCCTAGATCGGGCTAAGAAGCCCCAAATCGGACTAAAAAGTTTGACAACAGTTTATGGTTTTTCTGGTCTGGTATGAATTGAAACGAGTATAAAACGATGATTGAACACTCTATAAGCTTAAATTCAATTAAAATTTAAAGCATGATTTGGAACTGAAGATTTCTCAATTTAATTCATTATAAGCAAAGCTTAAGAGAAAACAAACTGATAAATCAATAAAAGCTGATAAATTGATGAACTTGTACATATAAAATAAGCAAGCCTAGCTACTAGAAATTGATACCAAGTGTTGGTAGAGCAATAAACTAAAAAGATATTTCAGAAGTTCTCTACTAGATATTTGAGTAGAAGAGAGATTGGTTG